TCACCAGATACAAATGGTGGCTTCCGTTCTATTTCCTCAGTCTCTTCCAATTCGAATGGCTTTACCCGATATTTCCTGCACATCTTCAAGAAAAACCAGCTCTAGCCACCGTGAAGTTCCGATATCCCCCACCATGAACATTTCCAATAGCTGGGCGGAGGAGCTGAGGTCCAAGTCGCTGAAATCGGCAATTTCCGGCGCTCTTGTTCTCGGAATCTTTCTCACTGGTATTAATCGCTTTCGTGGTTTTGTTTCCAGTTTTCAATTGCTTTTCAGCTTATCACGATAATGTGGACTGTTTTTAGGGCTGTTTGGTTGCAATTAGGTTTCAACTCAATCTGAATTGAAAATTTTTGGGGTGTTAAGTCCAAACAAATCTCTGAAAATTGTTTGGACGCAGGTTAAGGGACTTGGAGATTTGAATTTATTTTTTTATGAAGTTAGAACTTGGGTTCATCCCGCTACTACGCTAATGATTATCGTCATTGTAACTAAACGAAGGTTTTACAGTATGGCCACGTAGGATTTAGGTTTAGGTGAAACTTACTATAACAAGTTGCTTTTGGTGGTTTGAAACAATTATAATAAATTTAGAATTTGGATTACTGTAACTTTGGTTTATTGTCTATAATTAAGGTTTTAAATATAATGTAGCACTCGGTATATGTCTTTAATGACGTTAATTTTGATTAGAGATTCATTAATACGATAAAATATGTAGTTAAGGCCTTAATGCACTGACCTCACAAACCATCTTTTTTGCAGTTGTAATCTCAGATTAATTTAGTATAAATTAGTTTATAACTAGCTAACTATGGCTATTAATCTCATCAATCCGAAGAAAAAATCCCTATAGTCTTCCTTTAAAAAATTTATTATGTGATTCCTTCTAACATTTGTGTAATTTTAAGTTGGATTGAACAAGTTGATCTCAAATTCAAAGTCAAAGATTTTGATTTCAGCTCGAGTTAGCTTGAAAATGATTGATATTGAATCAAATTTTTATATAAATTTAGCCAAACCTTTTATTTTTAAAATTATTTTCTTATTTTCCTTGAGATTATAACTTTATATTATGGGCATAAAAGCTTGCAAACACAATCAATGTTATTTATATAAAGAAACATTCATAACTCTTTTACCAAAGTTTTGTATAACATAACTTAACTTTATGGATTTAATCTTTATGATATTATGCTTTAAAGTTCTACTGAGAAGAGTATGCAAAGAGTTAAGAGCTCCGACTTCTTCAATGAAAAAGGCTACATAGAGTTTGTTTGAGAGTGTGCTTATGGCCAAGATGAGATTCTCAAATTGGCGAGTCAGAGACAAAGCATCTCAATGAGTCAGTGAGGAAAAAAGTCAATCAGGTAGATAAATAGAGCAAGTCAATGTGGGAGGAGCAACGATCTTGCAATTCAATGAGGAAGCACGCCTGAGTTGGTGTGCACTAGGTAGGATAATTGAGGCTATGGGTTGATTGCAAAGCTTTGAGCTAGCAGAGAGCCATTTGAATTAGCTTTTCCTTTTCCTGTGAGTTTATAACTTAGTTTGTGGCATTTAATTGATGGATTAAGAGAAAAAATAAGTTTTTATTTGAGTAGATAGCTGCTTAAAATGTTTTCTATTATTTATTCAAGTTCACCAAAATTATTTGCGATCATCCCATTTACGTGCTAGACACCTAGAGCATTGCCTCTTTGTGTGTAGGGCTGTCCAAAAGGCTCGTTGTTTGCGAACACCTCGTGTTCGGCTCATTAAGCAGCTCGTATTCGGCTCGTTCGTTAAACATAACGAGCCGAACAAGAACAAATTTTTAAGCTCGAAATATTAACTAGAAGAACACGAACAAACATTTGTTTGCTCTTGTTCGGCTCGAATTTTCTCGAAAAGAAATACATTAATCAATAAATAAATGAAAATATAAATATACCGCGGACTTTTGTGGTGTTATCGGTGTCATTCCGCGGTGTAACATCGCGGAATAACACCGATACATCGTGGAATAACGCGCAGAATAACACCTGCGTTTTTAATTACTCGGGTGTTATTCCGCAATGTATGTTGGTGTTATTGGTGTTTTTCGGGGTGCTATTGTTGTATTATTGGTGTTATTGACGTTATTCAAGCCGAACACGAGCCAAATACGAACAAGAATATGTTATTCGAGCCAAACACGAAACATTGTTCACGGGCGAATATGGAACAAGCCGAACATGAGCCAAGGCTCAACATGTGTGATAAGAAAGGCACAACTTAATTTAATTAGTTAAATTTTCTAAATCTTGAAAGTATGTCATTAAAAGATGTTCTCTAAATTTGAGTCCAACAAACTTTAAATTTATCCCATTAAAGTGTATTATTATTTTTATTGCATCTATTAGCAATTGTTTTCTCATACTCTCGCCTTATTGCAATTGTGGCTTTCAAGTTTTTGTGAGCCCATTTGGTTGTGCACCAATATTTTCTTGGTTGCTTCTGTGTTACTTGGTCTATATAACTAGTGATTTATCATAAGAAACATACATGGACGTGCACGCTTAATTGTATTCTAAAAGTGTAAGTATGAAAATCTTTCTTTGCCTTCGAGAACTGGCAGCTCTTTGTTGACAGAAGATAATTATACGGATAAAGGCTTAATATATATATATATATATATATATATATTGGCATCTGATAGATGTTAAATCATCTGGTTGTACTCTATGCTTAGTTCCTTTAAAATTTTGGGGCATTTACTTGCATACCACCTAATTCCTATATATTTACATATCTGATACCTAAAGTTTTCTTTTTTACATTTATATCACATAAAAAATATCACAATTTTAACTTCCAAAAATTGAAATACATCTTATCATTTATAGGTAAGGTGGTATGTTATGTAAAAATTGAAGTTTGGATGTTAGATATGTAAATACCTAGGAATTAAGTGGTATGAATGTAAATCTTCCTAAAATTTATGATTCATTGTTATCTTTTTCACAAGACAAGGTCATATTAGGAATAGGATTGTAAACGTGTGTTCGTGTTCGGCTCGTTTGTTTAGTGAGCCGAACACGAACCGTTCACGAACAAAGAGTCATTTTGACAACCCTAATCACGTAGCCATCAGATGTTAAGGATTGGGGCAAGATTTAAAACATCATTTGAATCTAATTTAATAATTTTGATTATGTTTTCTTTATTAATACTTTTATTTGATTATAAATGTTTGTAGCCTTGTAGTCAACTAAATTTTTAAAAAATACTACTATATATATAATTGATAAGTAGTATTTCGAGTCAAAACAAGACGAACACGAACGAACAAATTTTTGCAGCTCGCTAACTTAGCGAATGAGCCGAACACGAGCTATTTGCGAGCAACGAGCCGTTTTGACAGCCCTAATTAGGAAACTATGCCACTTCTGAATAAATAAATATCTTCAACAAATGCAGGTTCCAGATCTGTTGATGCAAAAGTTGGGGTTAACAAACCAGAATTGCTGCCGAAAGAGTTTAGCACCATTGTTGATGTTGCTGGATTTCTCTCTGCAGGCCAGGTGTCAAATCTTCTCTTATTTTTGGTATTACCAATATTTATACAAATCCCAAGGAGTTTTACTAAATGAATTGCCATTTCTAGCTTGCTGAAATAACTTGCAAATGCAACAATTATTTTCTCGAGGAAAGAACTCTAAACTAAGTAGATTTATAGTTACTCAAGTTGTAGGTTTTTGTGAAGTTTTGGATTTTCTTGCATTAGGAAACGGCATCTACTGAAGTATCGGTTTGACTCCGGAATCTGAAAACACAGCAAGCCGCTGCACTAGAACTTTAGTATGCTGTAAAGGTTAAACTGTAATTTAGGAATTATGCCAGAATTTACACTATTGTTTAGAATTTTATGTTTTCTTTACTTTCCTAGCAACCTGCTGAAAATTTCTAGCTCATAGGCATATTAACTAAATTTTGGAAATTTTTACCCCCATGGAATAGTTAGTCCGATTACCAGCCAAGTGATATTTCTTCAGGCTTGAATGAAGATCAGAGAATCTAAAGAGGAAAATAAACACAGCCAATCTTGAACAAACAAAGATAGATCGAGTTATAGTGAAATTTTCTTATATGTTAACGTTATTTTCCTGCCAAACTAGATTTTATATGCAATATATAAGCATTTTTTCTAATATTTACATGTCACTACTCTAACTGCATTGTACTTTAAAATCTTCTTATCATTTTGCTGTTTCTTAATAATCATAATTAAGGGAGTATATGTTGCAAGCTCCTATTAGGAGAATCGAATTCGTCAAGAGATTGCAGATCTTGAAAAGGATACAGGATTTAAGCTCCGACTCCTTACACAAAATTATCCCGAAACACCAGGTAATAATTCAGAAACTTAGGGGCCATATATGATCACTTTTATCTTTTATCCTTATTTTTTATTTTTATTTTGTTTTGTTTATATTTTATTTTGAAATGAAACATGTTTGTGAGTGATATTGTTTTGAAAACATTCGAAGCATCTAAAATGATGTTTTGAGTGTTATAAAAACTAAGTTGTATTTTAGTAAAAATAAAATATAAAAATATTTAAAAAATGAATCAAGCAAACATGTTCTTAAAAAATAAAAGCAAAAAAAAAAAAAAAAAAGGCTCCAAACAAGGCCTTAATCATTAATTCCTGCTTTAAATTTCATACAGCTGCTCCAAGGTTCCATATCATGAAGAAGTTGTTCCAAGACAACTTAATAGACATTAAGTGGGCAATCCAGGCTCTTTTATCCACTGGTCTATGTAAACATGATATTATATGCAATTTTCTTGGAAGATAACATGATGTTAGAATCTATGAAATGTACTCTTTTTGTTTATTTACATGAATTTTCCTCTGACGTTAGGTGAATTAGTATCCTTTTAACTTTCTTTTTCTTTTTTACTATATCCTTGAGAAAAATATTTTAACTTTGCTTTTGATTTCAGGATTAGCAATTAGAGACTTCTGGCAAGTCGATGACAGAACAATTGTCTTTGTTGCTGATCCCACCTTTGGTAAGGGAAATAAAATTTTCTTCAGGATAAATTGTTTGTTGCCGATCCCACCTTGTAGAGGATTTTGTTAGTTACCGTTAAAAAAAAAAAATCCAAAATTCGTTTATTTAATAAATGACGTTGAGTCAGTTTTTATTGGAAAAATTGCACTGATATTTGCTTGTTGGCAGCAGATACACAATGATATAAAATTAATTAATTAAGTTTGACGGTTTGTAAACCTATTCTCTTCTCTAAGAAAATATACACCATCAATTGGAGAGTATTAAAAGGTATAGAAGCTCTCTAAAGTTAAACATAAATATCAATGGTTGGAGGTATGTTATTTGCATTTATGAATATATTAGACTTCTAAAATTTTAATTATAGTGACATTTTTTAATGTGATGTTAATGATTTGAGTGCTAGAATGTAAATACGAAAGTTTATATATTAGATATGTAAATATATAAGAATTGTGTGGTATGCTTGCAAATGATCCAAAAAAAAATTTAGTCAAAACTATTAAATTTGTCCAATCGAATGGCTTTCAATGGTGTAGAAGAATAGAGTGTTGATTGCTTATAGTCTAATACTTAGTTGGTGCTTATACTGATGTTAAATTTCAGGTTAAGGCTATGCAATTAATTTGACTGATTAGCACTAGCTTATTAAAGTTAAACATTGCCATTTGAAACAAAATTGCAACTAATAATTTTAATATTCTTATTAAACCTTTTAATCATCAAATCTAGCATGTGAATACATTATCATTTATATTAATTTATATAAATATTTTTAAATGACTAAAATCATCTTGAAAATACTTTCTTGTTGGTAAAGCTTTTAACCAGAGTTTTGACTACAATTTGTACATTTCTTGCTATAATGTTCTGTTTTACATATTTGTTTATCTTTTGGAACAGGTAATATATTGAATTTCAATGTCGGTGCCACCGTTGATTTGGACATACCAAGAAGCTTTTGGAGTCGCTTAGCTGGGAAATATGGCAACATATTTTACTGGAAAGAAAAGGTAAGCTAGAAAAGTATGTCTTTTTGGTTTTATGAACTTTTATATTGCTATTGTTGAGTCTATTGGTTTCAGATTCCTAGCTTAGTTTTATGTTAGTGGGTATTAATTATATCTACTCCTCAACCTTTACAATTCAGTCCCTCGAGTTTTAAAAGCATTTTATGTGGATTTCTCATTTGAAGGGCCAGAGTCCAACGTTTGGAGAATTTACATGCATATCTCTGACACCTAAATCAAAACTTATGCATGGAAATGTGTGTTTCACTTTAAAAATTTTGGTATTTGTGATATTTTGATTTGAAGCAATGGTTTGAGTGTTATATAAGCAAATAGTAAAGTTTAGGTGTTAAATATATAAATATATAAGAATTATGCAGTGTGTATGTAAATCCCCCTAAACATTTTCAGAAACTAAGGAATCCTATGGTTTTTTTTGGTAAATGCTTGTGTTGTCTATTTTTTTGCTTTCTTTAACAATAGAAATTTTCTTAGAGCATTTGACTTGGAGTGTGTTTGGAGAGGCTACTGTTTTTTAATAAGATTAAGCAGTTGTGAAGCTACTTCCCTAGTACGTTTAGGACTACTGCTGTTTTTTGAAGCAGTTGTGAAGGAAAGCAACTTCACTGTTGCTGTCAACAAGCTACTGTTGGTGCAGCAGTGATTCTGTTTGGATAATTTGCTATGTTGCAGCTATTTTTTACAAAAAAGACAGTTATGCTCTTATAGATGTAACTTAGTTGAATTACTGTAGTTTTTTAAATAATTATAGTAGAATACAATAACAACTTCAACAGTGCATAAAGCACATCAAAAGTTCAATTTTAACTTTTAGACATCACTTTATGCATAATATTAAAATAATAAAAACTACAATATCAAGTTATAACAGTTCTCACCTTCATATCCAGAAGATTAGTCTTCGGGATAACTTTTTGTCCATATCTCTCCTAATTTGATCACTATTAGGAGTGAACTTTTTCATATTCTCAGCTCATCGAAAAAATATGCAATCTTCAAGTGTCTTATTTCTGAGATTATAATAAAATACCTTCGTATAGCTGACTTCTTTTTTTTATGTGTATTCAGAGCACTAAATATCACAATGATGATACAAATTTCTTCAAGTACTTGATGACTTTGAATTCATGTTCGCTGAGATTATAATTAGTTATGCTTAATCAACAAATTAAACTTCATATGCAATAGAACAACAAAAAAAATTAAGATTTATAATTAGCAATGTATATAAAGAAAAATATGCTACTCTAAAGTTATAACTTCAAAAATTAAAGTCTTAAAACATGAAAGAGATAATAAACATCAACTAATCTCTAAGTATTAGACATCAACCAAAAGAAATTACAAAATAATAGAAAAAATCTACAGCTCTAAACTAACAGATTAATGACTTCAATGAGATAATATTTGATGTATTTGAACAATTCATTTCTCCCCTTGATCACTTGGCTGGTATGCTCAAAATCAAGACAATGATATCTCGTACAGGGAATGGTTTTAAGAAACCCCGTTTCATAGGATATCTCAAATCAATGATATAGTATTTCCTTGAATAATAATATTATTAGTACATCACTTAAAACTTAACTCCTCATAGATGGTCATTAATGTATTAATCAGATGGATGCATTAAAAATTTTTATTCACATTCCTGAGTAGCAAATTTAAATATGGAACTATCATGAGCATTCACTTTCCATAAGTCATTAAGGTAAAATACGTATTAAAGTTACAAATATTAAGATATTATAAGTTGTAGATCCACAGTGTCCGATACATGCAATCTTATTGTTGTTGTCCAACTCGTGCATTGACATGTGTGTCATCAATTACTTCTATAAAATCACGTTTAAAATATTCATAAGGACAATTTATCTTCTATAAGACATGCATGCAAATTAAATTGGTAATACAATCAATATCTTAAAGAACAACATGGATCTTGTATCGTTACAGATTCCTCTTGATGTATGCTACACATATAACACCTGAACTTTTTAAATATATGCAACCTTACCTATGCTTGAAAGGAGTATTTCACTTTTTAGAAGTTCAAATTGTGTTAGATTTTTTTTTTATTTCATAAGTTGTATAAATGTAAAAAAGTAAAATCAAGTGTTAGATATGTAAATACATAGAACTTGGGTGGCATTGATGTAAATACTGCAATATTATATTATATGAGCAATGATTTTCAGGGTGAAGATGCATCCGTTGAAGCTGCGGTGAAGGCAATAGCAAGTTGTTTGAGAGAACCTGTTGGAAGAAACAACTGTTCAGAGGTGAGCTAACACTTCCTATTCACATATTTAATATTGTAATTAAAATAAATAAAAATAATGAATAATTTTTTATTTCTTTACTATATTTTTTTTACTGATATCATCTTGCAAAATATTTTTAATATGTGAATTATTATTATTTAGAAATAATTTATTGGCCGAATAATTTAACTCATACATTTAAATATTAATATTATTTAGAAAAATAATTGATAGATCTTAAAAAATGAACACATCATTGCAATTTTTGCATCACTACCAACTGTAAAAATTTTAAGTTTAAATGAAATATTGTAAATTAAAGCTGTGAAATAGTATATTTAAAATATGAACCGATCATCCATTTTCACTTTAATATTCCAGGATGCAGCGCCAGCAGGGCTGCCAAAAAAGCTCGTTGTTCACGGGCAACTCGTGTTCGACTCGTTCGTTAAGTAAATGAGCCGAACAATAACAAGTTTTTAAAGCTCGAATTATAAATGAGTCAAACATAAATGAGCCGAACACGAACAGTTCTTTGTTAGCTCGTGTTCATTATAGCTCGAAATGAAAAAAAAAAATTATATAATTATTTATATAATAATATATTATATATATTATTTATATAGTAATATATTATATATATTTATATTTAAATTTAAAACGTAGCGACTCGTGTGATAATATGGTTATGTGCATTCTTTTGCGTACATTTGATTCATATTCGAATCCAATACTCTACATCTATTATTTTTAATTTAATGTTAACAAGTCAATTTCAAGCCGAACACGAACACGCTGTTCACGAGTTGATTTCGAACACGAACAATTTCGAACGACCCGAACTCAAGCTCGGCTCATTTACAACCATAAGCGCTACAGATCATGACATAAATTATGCCCATAATGTGATAATAAGAAAGGGAGGAGTAATAACTCTGAGTGAGAACTCAGAATCGTCCTATAACACAAATTACAAATAGCAACATTTTTTTTAAACTAGTAACATATATGAATAAAGATAAGAGGCAATAGGAGGAAGAAAATATATTATAATAGAAAAGGATGTCACCAGTAGGCTAATTATTTACCTGAAAATAATATGCCATATATTTCACCTCAATTTAGTAATTGGGAGCTTTAATTTTTTTATTAAGAAGTGAGCTACATGGAGGAAAGGAGAAGGATAGCGTGAGGATCTAGAAATCCATTTCACCAACTTACAACATAAAGTAGAAGCTGAAACACCACAAGGGCAATACATAATTTTCATCACATCAAAGCACAAAAAAAGTGTTAAATCAAACACACATATCGATGAACCAATAAACACATATAAAGAACATAAATATATAAATAATGAACAAAAAAATAAAAATATATTTATGTTTTAATTCACAAAATAAATTGATTTATATTTATGTCACCTACTTATAATTATTCAATCGAAAAAGAAAAAAAAAACTTAACAAAATTGTCAGTCGCTGCCTCAGCTGGGACATACCCCAACTGAGACAGCCGTTTGAACATTAAATCTCCCCCTATCCCAACTTTCTTCAATCCATTCATCTCAACAAACTGACAGGAGACCAAAAATTACTCCCGAGCTACGGCCAATTCAGCCTTCAGAGAAGTTGCCTTCTCTTGCAAAGTAGCTTCACGAGTCCGGACCGCAACTAACTCCTCATCTAACTGCCCCAGTCGTGTGTCACGAAGGAATTCACCCTTTTGAGGAAGCACAGCCTGAGATGAAGTAGAGGATCCCTAAACATTTTTCACTCTCGCAAGGCTTACTGATTCATCGCATAACGACCCTCTAGGGCACGTAGGATCCTTAGTGGAGCCAAAATTTGCCACAATGCCGACTTCAGGAGCTCCTTACTCAACAAAGATAGGAGTCTTATTACCCTCTCCAGAGGATGGATTCATCATCTGGACTAGGTCAGAATTAATGAAGGAGAATGTCTCTCCTCCAATCTCCTTTCCCAATGGTGGATGTTGAGAGGCAGGTTGGGAGGCACCGGTAGCCGAAGGGCCAGGAGCAACTCCTTAGTCATCCACAGCTTGTACTTTTAGAGGTAATAGGTCAAAGGTAAGTTCTTGACTCTGTCTCTCCCTCAGGTTCGAAAGGTTTGACCAAGTGTTGTTTTGGCCCGCCTGATCGTCTTCTAGACAGTTCCTTTTTATGACATGTCAATCGGGGCACAAATATATACAATGGTTTGGTAGTTCAAAAATAAAATATCACCTGGCCGTTAGATTTTCTAAATGGCAATATTTCAGTTGCTGTGTATGTAATTATTCCAAAAGAAAAGAAAAACATGTAGTACAAAAATAAGAGCAATGCACAAAACAAAACAAAAAAAAATTAAGGGCTCACCAAATTGATGGATTTTACTATAGTTTGATTGTCTAGAATTATAACCTTGAATTTTTTTGAGACAAACATAGCACCCTTAACTAAGTCTATGAAACCACATTCTATTCTAAAGACCAAAACTAGGCTCCACAACTTAAAAAGTCTCATTGTCGCCTCATACAGCACTAAAGTAAGCAAAACATTGAACCGAGAAATGGTGACTCGGCCATTTTGATTTTTAAACCACAAGACCGTTACGATAACCTTTTGAGTTGCAGCCTCCATGTCTATCTAAGAGCAAACTCTTACAGATAAAACAGTCTCACCATACCGAGCTCAAGCGAGTTGGACTCGACTCGAAACTGAACTTTTACATCAGCTCGAGCTAAAGATGACGCAAATTAGAAGATGGTCCTAATGCGTTAAGACGTTCAAGATAATGGCTAAAGAGAGCACATCAAAAAATAGGTTTTTAAGTCGAAAAACTAGCGATAAGAAAACAAACATGTTTGCTAAATGAAAAAAAGGGCATTTACACACAAAGCATGCGATTCTTATGTATTTACATATCTCCCACCTAAATTTTCATATTTATACGCATAGCACTGTTATTTAATTTCACATCAAAAATAGCACTATTAACAGTTTTTAAATTTGAAACAAGCCTTTTCATGCATGAGTTTAATGCACCAAGTGCCATGCATGTAAACATTAAAGTTTAGGGTTCAGATATGTAATTACATAAGAATTGTGTGCTGCGTATGTAAATAAAAAATTAAGGGACGGAGTTTCGGTAAGAGGTGCAGAACCTGCGAACTCAGAAAACGAAGAGCGGCTATCTCTGCGAAAGTTACGCCTCCAACGAAAAACACTAATACTAAAGCACGACGACCATCAGCAACCCTGTTTAAACAAAAAAAAAAAACATCAATGTTAAATTTTATAACAAATCCCTAAGAGGCCGTTTGTAATCATCTTTATTTTTTATTTTTATTTTGTTTTATATGTTTTAATTTGAATAAAAATATTTTTGGTTGAGATAAATTACTTTTAGAGACACAAAAATATATTTTTATATATTTCAAGTATTTTTAAAGATAAATCAACATACATATTTCAAAGATAAAAGAAAAAAAATTAAAATAAAAATAGTAAACAGAAGTGATGCCAAACGGGGCTAAGTTGTCTGACTCGACAAATGCCTCATCAACGGAGTTAAAATGGTGGTATTTTTTTGTGTAGAAAGGTGGAGAAAGGCTAGTGCAAACTTAACTCCTACTATTACAACTTACCAATAACACAACAATTAAAAAAAAGTAAGAAATACAACATAATAAGAAAAGAATAAATTGAGAATAAATCTAAAATAGGAAACTTATAATTCCACAATCCCTCCCCTTCCAAACCCCCCAAGAAATATTTGGTTTAGATTCATCTCCAAACTCAAAAACTGAATCAAATCAGAATATTTGGTTTATGTAATATTGCAAACTAAAGCAAATGAATTGATCTCTTATTTTTTTTCAATTTGATTTCATTATTCAATTTAAAGAATTTTTCCACCACACTCATCATCTAGAAGAAGGGTTCAAGCATCATAGATAGAATAGAATACAACACAAAAATGATGACAAAATATGACCGAGTATTTACGATATGAAACAAACCATTCGACATTGCAAAATCTTGAAAAATGCGCAAGAGAAAAAAAATGATTAGAATTCGTAAAAAGGTTAATCCACACCTGTCAATATTTGATTGAGCACCGGGAACGTTATCAAACGGGGAACTATTGGTTGAGCCACCCTATTTATGTTCATGATACGCAATTGATTAACATTATGAAATAATGAAATTCAACCTTAATTTTATCCAAATACAAAGTTATGAAGGGGGCATGTGCTTACTCTCTTCAAATCCACATGTGGTCCAGGAAGAAGCCTCAATATTTCATCAATTGACCGCCTGCAAAACAAAGCTTATCAATAGCTAAATTTACCTACATAAAGTCGAGCACACAAAAATTATGACCAAAATTTAATCAATACAGAAAAATGGAAGTCTTATACCACCCGGATCTTATTGCATGTTGGACAATACGGAGCTTATCAATAGCTAACTTTACCTAAATAAGGTTGAGCACACAAAAATTATGACTAGCATTTAATCAATACAGAAAAATTGAAGTCTTTATTAAAGTTTAGGAAGAAGTGCATACCACCCGGATCTTATTGCATGTTGGACAATACGGATGCTAAGAGGTGCATATCCCGAAAAAATGTATGAAATATCATCAGGCCTGTAAAGTTCGATATCTTAAAGTGAGATGCAACGGTCAGCATGTTTGAATCCTACAAGAATTTATATAAAAAAATGCATGCTAATCAAAATAGCAAACAAATAAAAACACTCAAGAAATGAGCGAAATGCATTTAGAAATCCTATATACTTATTAAACTTTTTTATGTATACACACTTTATGACCGTAGATTATACTAAATGACGCACAACTTTTTCAAATGACATTTTAGAACCCATATTTTACGAGTATGCTGATGATAAGAAACGGATAATGGAAGAATATGCAAAATAACATGCCAAGTGTTAATCCTTTAGTGACGGAAAAATAAGTTGGAAAGTACTTGGAAGCTTCGGACTCGGAAGCTATCAACTGGAGTGCTTTTGAAATCACGAGCCAATTGCTTTTTGATTCCTATAAAACAAGGTTCAGTCAGAATATAGCAAAATAAATATCAATATGTGACAACATTGCAGTACATATGCGTTAATGAGAAAACTAACTCGAATGGAACAGGAGAAATATGTAGCAATGATGAAGATTGGACTCACTTGTCTCTTGAATAGCCCAGCTTTTTCGAGAATATATAGTGCGGGCATATGCTCAAATCCATAGCTATGCAAGATCTCCCTCCTATATGAAAAATATAAGAACCACAAATTCATAAAGGTGTAAATAATAAGGGACATTTACATACATACCACCCAATTCTTATGTATTTACATATCTAACACCTAGACTTAGTTTTTTACACTTATACCACCCAAATCTTCGATATCACATCAAAAATGCCACTATATTAACTTTTAAAAAGTAAAATACCTTTTAATACATAGAGAAAGTAGCATATATGTAAAAATTAAACTTCAAATGTTAGATATTGATGCGGGCGCTAAAACAACGCCCACATGCAAGCACTGAATGCGCCCCGAAGCGGTGCGCTTTGATACCAGGAGGACCAGAAGCCCTGCAAAATGTCGCGAAGCGGGTAGATGTGGGAGGAGGGATCAAGATGCATTGGGGTCTCGCAAGTGAACTCTCGCAAAGGAGTAGGAGTGAGCTGCCGCACTTGGTGTAGTGTTTCCTAACGACGTGATGCTTTGGCAGTATCCTGCTTTGAGGTGGTATTGTATCCTTCCAATCTCCTCCTTTACTTCTCCCCCGACCCTTCTCCTACCTCTCCCCCAGCCACCGACCACCCCCATATCCCTCCACCACTCTATCGCCACCTCTACTCCGTCCACAACCTTGTTGTCCAGCTTACCTACAACCAACCAAACACAATCTCAACCTACCCAAACAACCACCTTGCCTTCCCCACCTTTCCTCCCCTACCACTCCGACGACACCACCATCGCCTTCGAAACTCTTCCGACAGTCCTAATTGGAGATTAGTCTATTATTGTATTTCATTTCCGTTTGAGTCGTGTTGTAACCCATTTCTATATTAAGAAAAGTTTGTTTTTTGCGTTCCGCTAAATCCTAACTAGTTCCACTATCAGATATGCAAATGCATAAGATTTGGGTGGTATGCATGTAAATCTTCCAAATAATAAAACAAGGGAAAACTAGCAAAATAGAGAATAAATGCAAAATGAAGTCCATGTAAATTATATATCATGTGATATATGTCAATATGTCCCTGTGGGATACAGTAAGTGCTTGTGTCAGTCCATGATCAAGTATCCTGAGAAGAAATAGAATTTAATCCTAGAAAGAACCAAATTTCTAATAAGACTAGACAAATCAACAATGAACCACTACTCCAATTAAAATAAATTTTCAGCAATGTAACGTGCACCTGATCTGTACATATCTAAATGATTCACAAAGTAATCCCAATGATCTTTAATACTACAAAATCTAACTACATATGACAACTAATGATGATCCAATGATCTACACTGCTAAAAAAGGGGAAATCTACATACATACCACACAATTCTTATGTATTTACATATGTAACACCAAAAGTTTAATATTTACATTTATAACACCTTTGTATCATAAACCTATGCATGAAAAGGTTTATTTCAATTTTAGAAAGGAAATCAAAGTGGAACTTTTGATGTGATGTTAAGGATTTGAGTGATATGCAAGTCAATATGAATGTTTAGATTTTAGATATTTTAATGCATAAGAATAGTGTGACATATATGTAAATGCCCCAAAAAAAAAAACACAACCACATCAGGCCATAGAAGTCATGATACTCGTCTAACCTCAGAACATTAATGCTTAGAGATGAAATCCAATGCATCAGCCCATAATCTATGTTGTGTAAAAACAAAAAGTTTTCTTCAAGAACTAAAGTCCTAAAAAGTCAAAGTTAATGAGTGTGAAAGTAGCGAGAAAAACTTTTGTTTTTACTTATGAACATTACTTGTTTTGTTTGAATTCTAGAACCTGTGTTGTCAACCAACGGCCCAACCAAAATGATAACCAGAGTATGATATGGACATACTAGAGTTCAAATGAGCACTTTCTGAATTTTTACACATCTTGAAGGGAATCCCTATATATTGCATCAGTTTCAGATAAAAAAAGGCTTAACGGCAGCCCAGACAAACAATTTTTTTGCTATAAATCCAAAGTTTACGCATAGAAAGGCAAGCTAATGTCCATGTTCGTCAAGTATTTCATGTTAGGGATGAATTAAATTGACCCATAACTTGTCAGGATCCACTCGTTTAAGTGCTTATAACAAAATTAAGTTTTGCTTACTCCTTCGACCAGTTAAAGAAGTATGTCATTTTTTGTTAAATTAGCTGAGAAATTTTTAAGTTGAATCTGAAGCTGACCCATTAGCATCAATTTATATTTCAACGCAACCATGGTATTCTTCAACAAACATCTAAGCCATCTGAAAGGAAATGTGAAACATCACATCTAATGAGAGTGTGGAGTGACGCTAGAGCGAATAGCCCAATAAGGAGCGGCTCCTACCAGCTCTTGAGATTACAAGCTTTTAAGATAGTGATGGGAAAAAGAAAAATGGGGATGAGAAGAACATAAATGAAGGAGCGGAGCACGTAGTAGGCAACCAAAAATGTTGCAGAGTTAGGAAAGAAGTGGCGGAAGCCAACACATTGGTAAAATTTTGCAACTATTTAAAGAAAAGATGGTTCAGTTTTCATAAAAAAAAGAAATGCAATAAAAATCAAACTTCTGAGCTTACCACAGTATCTACAAAAAATCAAGAGCATCCAGCTCATTTGGCGAAGCAAAAGTGAAACATAGAATGTTTTCATTAACAATAATAATTGAAGATGCCACCAATGAAATGGTAAGAAGAATGGTTTTTAATGTCAAGACAGCAAACAAAATGGTAAGTATCTTTCAGCATTTACCTCAAATAGTCAAAGTTTTTCTTTGGTAAACCATTATTGGTGACAGAAAGTAAGACCAACAGACGGAATACATTTATCATTGATTCTTGCTTGTGAATCATTTCCTCGATGTACTCAAAGCAACTGCAAATTAAAGTCAGTAAAGAGACGCAAAATATAATTTACAAATTCATAAGATTGAAAAGTAACAAGGCAGTGAAATTGTGCAAGCATTTAAAATTTCCATTTGCACTTCGAATAGAGAAATTCAATCTATAAAATTAGCAATTTTGGTCGCTTATCAAGACTTACGAAACACTGTGTGGCCAAATTCTCAATCCTAACATTTTCTAAACTTTACTCTGATGATACTTCATTGTGGCCACGTTCAAATTAATTCAGCGAAGGAGAATCTAAAATAAGGATAGTGAAAAACGAGAGAACTAATTCAGACAACTGATTGTTCAAAATTCTTGAATTACTAGTAGCCAAAATTGTATTAGTTGTAGGATAAAAAACAGATCAATTCATCTTTAGAAACTTCTAGAACATTTAGTACATCCAATGGCATCAATAAAAAAATAAAACATTAGCTAAAACATAATTTACATTGATATTTGAAGTTCAGAGCTATAAAACTATTAAAAAAAACATAAATTGCACTAATTACCCATGAATAAAAGGAATTATTTAAAACCAAACTTTTAAAACTCCTCCATGCAAGTCTATGCCATCATAATTATCCTTCATTTCGGTACCATCCAAGCTCTACTGCTTTCTAGTGAAGTATGTTAAAATGCCCTTGAAAAATTTAAACATGAACAAGTCATCCATTCCTCATTACAGTGTACTCTAAAAATGGGTTGAGTTTGTCGGTAGGCACATTGGACCTAACAGAGAACAAGTCATCCATTCCTCATTACAGTGTAGTCTAAAAATGGGTTGAGTTTGTCGGTAGGCACATTGATGCAATGGGAGCAAGGTTATGGTTGGCATTTCTATTTCACGAGGTTTAGCTGCAAATGTCTCCAAAGCCACCAACATGATGGTCCATTTGAAGAAGGGGTGGATGTCAACAACGCCCCTCTATTATTAAGTGGAGGCGGAAGGGGTCGATGAATTTAAGACCATCAAATAATACAATCATAAAGATTCATGCACAGTCACAATCGATAATACGTGGGCAACCAAGGTGGAGAGTGCAGAAGATTGTGATGGATTTTTTGGGGTAGTAAGGAAATAAAGATCCACACCAAGAAATAGAAGTGATCATGTGAAAGGAGAACTATCACATATTAGGCATGCATTTCTTAAGCAAGCATTGTCTATAATGTTGGGAAAGAAAGTTGAATACAATCCAACAAGAAAGCTATCGCAACAAGAGCACAATCCCAATATAGATGATCAATCTAGTTGGTATGCACTTTGTCACAATCAATGTTTTGATGGCGAAGGTGTAAAGCAATGTGTTTTACCTATCTCAGCATAGCATAAGCAACAAGGTATAGAAAAATTTTATAGCCTTAAATTTAATATATTTTTTTGGTTGGGTATACTTGTAATTTTTTTGGAGCCTTTCTCTTGGGTGAGTTGTAACCCGAGAAGAGGAACCTGGGTATTGTAGTTCTTTTGCTTTTATTAGCGAGCGTTCCTTATCCTACCTTTGTAACCCCATATTTTGATAGAAAAAAATTACCTACAGGTTTCTCTCTCTCTCTCTCTCTCTCTCTCTCTATATATATATATATATATGTGTATATATAATAAAAATAAAATCTACAATCCAAAGTTCATAATCATACATTTTATATTCTAACACCAAAGTCTAATTGATACAAACAAACAAAACCAAATAAATAAGATAACAAAATAAAACAAGATGAGCAGTCAATCAACAAAGGGTTCATCAAAAATGAGTGGTGAGTAGGCCAACAAAACAAAGAATGTTGAGAGAGACTTTGCCTTAGTGAGTTGAGAATCAAAATTAGACTTGACATGCGAGATGAAATGAGTCAAGCTTAGCGCTTCGACATTTCTACGAGATTACAAGGGATGAATCAATTTTATAAAACTTTCAATCATATTTTATTTAAATAGATTAATTTTTTTTAATAATTTTAAGTTAAGTAATTTGATAATAATAGTTTAATTGAAGTTATATTATAAGGATATCTCCTCACAAACATGATGATGCAGAGCTCGGTAGAGGACCGACCGATCCTCAAGGGAGAGGGGTTGCCGCCCCCTCCTCTCTCTTTCCCCCTTTACTTTTTCCCTCATTTCCCTTTTCTTTCATTTCCTTCTTATCTTACTTTCCATCCTAGGCCATTTCTAATTTAAATCATTTCCTAAAATCTGAAATCCTGATTTTATTTTATTCTTCTTACCTATTTTAAAACATTTTCCTAAAATTTGAAATATTATTTTATTATTTTTTCTTATTTTAAGTGTTTCCTAATTTAGGTCAAGCTTCTTTATAAATAGGAAGTGACGTGCTTAGAGTAAGGGTCTTGTTTTTTAATCTTTATTCAGCATTGTCTTTGTGCTTTCCCTCTTGAGGATTGTATCCAACGACGAGGGAGGTGCTTCGGCTATAACCCCATCCAAGGTGGTGATTATATTCGTCGTTCTGACTCCTTCCTGCACCCCTACAGGTCTCTGCACCTCCACAGCCTCCTCCAGCACTCACAGTCAATGTTCCCTGCCCTCCTTCCAGCTGCCCTTCTTCCTCCTTCCAGACCACCAGCACTTTACTGTAACCAGCAAACCCCGCCTTTGCTGACCTGTATTTCCAGTCGCTATCGCCATCCTCCCAGCAGGCCGCAGCCCTTCCAGCCCGATGTCGCCTTCCTCTCAGCAAGTTGACCCCCTTCTGCCACCTTCCTACCAGCAGGTTGTAGCCCTCCGTCCAGCATTCTGCTAGCTGTCTCATCCCTCCCAGCAGGTCGCAGCCTTCCTTCAGGGTTCCAACAAGCTACTGCCACCACTCCTCACTGCCCCTGCAGGGCGTCGCTCTTTCCTGCCTACCACAAGCCGCCATCAGTTGTATCACCGGTTTCTAACCTTTGACAATGTTTTCTACTCCCCCCAGCTGCGGTTCGACGCCTCTACTATTGCCGACTTGCTGCCCTGCTCCCACTACAGCAGCAAGACACCTCTCCAGCCTTCACCGCAGTCGCCGACACCCCGGACTCTCTTCTGTCAAGCTTGTTATATCTTCTTTTGTTGAGTCTTCATTTTTAATCCTTATTTTACGCTTTTGTTTTGTGTGTTGTCTTTCTTTCAATTGAGTTTTCATTGTAATCTTATTTAGGTCATTAATAAAATTGTGTTTTGTTTCGTGGTTTGGGTTAACTCCGGTATCACATGATGTACAAGGTGAGCCCCTAACACTTGAGGTGATGCCATAGTTTGCAACGCATACCCTGGTCAAGCTCGATAAATGCCTTTAAAATATTAGCACAACAATATCATAGACAAGGAATCCTCTTAAAGCATTTATTCTTCAGATGGTTCCCAAGTGCTTACGCTATGGTACAGATGAAACTCATAGAGATGATGAGCTCACTCCTTTATATCCCACACTAAATGGTGGCACACTATTCACTATCTTTCAAAAAGGCTCTAAAATCTTTTGTGAGATCACATAAGATTAATCCGATCTCCTATGATGCTTTAGTAACACGAGTAAAAGAGGATACTGAATGCCTTGATCTAGAAATTGGACAAGCCAAAAACTCTCCCTTAAACCTGCCCTCATACATGGTTAAATAGTGGTATAATACCAAACAAGACAAAAAAAAATCTAGACGGTAGATTGCCATCAACTACAACAAACAATCCACCTTAGCTTAATTTTAGCAACTAAAGCTCACACCAACATGCCTTTATGATAATTATAATGCCTTTTACCGCTACCAAAGGATTCGAAAGGCTTCTCGAAATTTTTTATTTGAATAAATTTAAAATCCCACTTTTAGTGCAGGCAGCATCTTATCCAAACATGAATCACCCTTCGAAAAGAAGATGAACAAAAAATTAAGCATTGTTTTAGTCGGAACAAAAAAAAAACAAACCACAACATTAAAACTAAAGTTAAAGGATGCATCACTTATTCATTTGGGCCAAATTAATATAAAAGTGTAATATTTGCCAAAAAAAATGATGAATACTAATATTTCAAATCAATGACCAATTTGCATTTCTGAAAGGCGCTGGGGACCTGCATAAATTATATTAACAAAATGAACTCATGTGAAATATCTCTCATACCTCGAACACTTAACATGTAATTCGCAAATAATATATTCAGCCATATTAGGTCATACATTGTATATTGTATGGCATATTATAAAATATGAAGCTTCAGTCAGCATCTAAATTTTAAAATATCGATCATATTTAAAATTATGTTGAAATTTAATAATATATTATTCATACAAATTCAATATTCTTCTTCATAACATAGAATATATAAAAAAATAAAACTTGTGCTGCAATAACACCAAAAAAGTTCAAAACTTTAGCCCACTCTGGAGAACAAGAAACATTAGTACCTATAAAATTCATTTCAAGCTATTAAAAGCATACGTACAGGTCAAAGTTCTGCGATTCCAGAATAGTTTGCTCAATGTCAAGGCGGGAATGGAATGATGGCTTGCAAGTAAAAGTTTGCAAATGTTGAGCAAGACTTACATGCCTCTGCATCAAGTGTCGAATTACATAGTTGGCCATGTAGTGCTATGATAAAATAAAATGGAAATGTAAAAGAAACTTATAATTAAAGAAACTTACAGCTATTTCTGGCAAAGAATTTAATTTCTTGACAAAATCCTTCAACTCTGACACAGATTGTGACTGCTAGATCAAACAGCAAGATGTTATAAGTTCCATTGATTTAGTAACTAATACAAACCAAAAAACTTAAAAGATAACATATATTAACTTCTAGAAGTTAAGTTCTCCATAAGTGTGAAATGTAAATTACATTCTATAATTACTAATATCATAATCATCATTAGCTTTTCTTCTAAAAAATTTGTACCAATATTAAGAAACATTCTGTCATAATTCATTTTGAATTCATGTTTCCTGAATCTAGCGTATATCATTTTGTAAAACTTCCAACCATTTATATTTGATATAATCCTTTCATTTCCTATTCTTCTAACATTAATATATCCACAATTCATATTCCTACCATATTTAACATGTATACATCTCTTGATACCGGAGTTAACCCAAACCACAATAGAAAAGGCAAATATTATTACTGAAAAGCAAATAAATTATTAAAACTCATACACTGAAAAAAAAAAAAAAAAAAATTACAACAACGACACAAACACAAACTAGGGCGTGGATTGGAGTGGTGGTGTTGCGGTTGAGGGAAGTAGGGGGTTATGAAAGGCTGTAGAGGAAAGGTACAGCAGGGCTGGTGACTGGGGAGATGGGAGGATAGGTTGAAGGGCGAGCGGTAGGCTGCTAGGTAACAGCAAGTAGGATTGGGGCTGGCACGTTTGGGAATTCCGGTAAGTACAGGGGCTGTGGAGAGGCCGGCAGTAGTGGTTGTGCAGTTGGGAGGGGGTTACAGGATTGGCTGTGCAGGGGAAGATGGGTTACGGGAATGGCTGGGGTAGGGGACGGGGTTTACGGGCATGCCTGTAGAGGGGACAGGTGGCTACGGGCTGGCCTATATAGTAGAGAGACGTTACGGGATGACTTGGTAGCGGCGAGGGGACTGTAGATTGGTTGGGGAAGTTGCAAGAGTAGGTGCTATCGGGAGAGCCAGACGGGTCACTAGAAGAGGCGGGTAGGACAGAGCGGAAGAATGAAGTGGGTTGCGGCGGAGTTTGATAGGAAAGGAGCGACTTGTGTGGCTGATGGTTTGCAGTAGGGCAAAGAATTTGGGGGCTGCAAAGACAGCAGATCTACTTTCTGTGGGAGACTGCAGCCAGTACGGCGGGAGCGGAAGGGAAGGTGCGAAGGAGGGTGAACGTCGAAGATAATCACCACCTCGGAGCGAGAAACAGTCGGAGCACCACAGTCCTCGGATACAGCCCTGAAAAGGGAAAAGGGGATGCCGGCGGCTGTCCTCACAAACTGAAATCAGAAAATAATATGGGGGGTTCAGTCCCCTTTCTAAACTTAACCGATTTGTGCCAAACAAGTTCAGTTTTTGGAGGAAAACCCGTGTCACCTCTATTATTGCATATTTCACTTCGTGCATGCTAGATTATTTAAGAACATTTTTAATAGCACTCTATATAATAGGTGTTACACCCACTCACTATATATAATAATTTTATACTTAGCCTGAAGCAATATAGGTCACCCAGGCCAAGCCCAAAAGCCAGACCAAACTTTAACATCAATTGTAGCTAGAGCCAAATGAAAATTAGACTTAAATTAGGAATTATTGAACATTTTTTAATTTTACATTCGATATTTATATATTTTGATCGAGAAATGTTCTGTAATTTCAATTTATTTGAACTTCATAGTAATAATCATAATTTATTTTCTTGATAAAGTTTTGTCATGGCTTTTGAAGAAGATTACTAGTAAATGAAGCTACTTTTAACCACTATAATTCAATTCCCTCCCTCTTACCCATAGCTACTATTCTAATCTTCAACTTCCATTCTCTTAGTGACTACCCTCACTCTCCTAACAGCAAGTATGCTATCCCTCTCGAGATAATCATAAGCATGACTTCTTATGTTAACACAACCATAAATGCTACTTGCACACATCTCAAGCCAATTACCCATTTTCCTATCATAGTTCATTAGAAGTTTTTATCTTCCCACTAACCTTAGAACAGCTAAAAGAAAGAGAAAAGGGTTTGATGCCTGCTTAAGATAATCAATGACTTGGGTTCGATATTGCTTTCCCGCCAACTCTTTTTTTTCTTATGATCTATTGGGATCAACTATGAGAGTGAAGACCTAATATCAATGCTACAGATCGGATTGTGAAGGCTTTACTGTGTATTGCAACCAGACAACTTGTCAATTTATGCTATTTATAATTTTGTAGGCATATTTCATGATTCTATGATTAGGGATCCCTTTTATAGAACTAGATTGTTACCTTGTTGTGCCTAATTATATCTCCATATAAAAGCACGCACCCATAGCATGATAGCCTGACAAGAACATTTCTTTTATAATCTTAAAGCTTAAAGATCTCAACCTCATTTTTCAAATTGTTGTTCATAGTTGATTGATTCTATTTTCCTGGATTAGTTTTGTCCCATACTGAAATGCTTTTGAAGTACCAATGCACGAACATGTATCAAGTTTGTTAAATGAATACTAATGTGATGATGTTACGTATTTATATTTCTATATTAGTTTATGATTTCCATTAAATGTCACACATGAATAATGCATCATATCTCACTCTAACTTTTCCTTTTAGGTTGCATACATTTCATTCATTTGCATGCTATATTTCATTTAAATTTTTACATTTATTGCATCACAGCCATAATGGAAATCAACTTTAGCGCCAAAAGTTCCATTTCTTAGAGATTCCACTACAATCAAAGGGCTCTTCATGACAGACCATCTACTCTTGAGGGTCATGATAAATCACACATCTTTCATTTTGATACAACTGGTAATAGCTGTTAGAATAGAACTCAAGATACTTTTTATTAATACAAAGGGGGTATAATACCCATTACAGGATCAACTAGAAAAGAAATAATTGAACTTAGAATACAATAGAAAGGGAAAGAAATAAAACTAAATATAATAGAAAAAGGAAGGAAAACAAACGAAATAACTCAGAATAATCATAATTTAATAATGGCTATTACTAGTCATTAAAATAATTTAATACTCCCACTCAAGTTAAAGCATAAATGTCAGTCGTATTTAACTTGAAGTTCAAATTATCGAATAATGGCCGAGGAGTGTTCTTTGTGAGGATATCCGTCAATTGGCTACTGAATGGCACAAACGGAAGGCAAGTTTCCCCCGACTCGAGTTTTTCCTTAATAAAGTGTCGGTCAATCTCAACGTGCTTGGTGCGATCATGTTGTATCGGATTATAAGTTTTCCTTAAGGATCTCTAATGTTTGGACCATAAGTCTTACTCTAAAATATTTATTATATTAAGATCGTAAGCCTTTTAGTAATATGAACAACATCACAAAGCCAAAAGCCTTATATAAAGAAATTCTATCTCTAATTAAATAGATGTGGTTTATTACATCTCCAAGTAGACATACACAAAAGCCATAAGCCTAATAAACCAAAATTAAAATTGCAAGAACCAATCTCAAGGCTCTCGAAAGTAGAGCAACAACTCCTACTGATTGTTACGTTGGTGCCTAACCTAAGGGTAATTTTATCTTTTGCATTCCTAAGGGCAACTTAATCTTTTATTATTATTGTTGCTTTGTATAAAAAGGTGTATGCATGAGATTATTGAATTATGAGTCTTAGCTTTAGGATTTGGGAGAGATCATATCTCTCAAATGGTAGGAATTATAAGAGATCGCCTACCTCTCAAACTGTAGGTGTTTATCTTTATATTCTTGTTGAGTTGTTTGAATTAATGAAAAAAAATATTTGTGTTTGCCCTAATTTCTATGAAAAAACGTATTGATTTTGACATCGGATCGTAACAAATTGGTATCAAAGCGATGATTATGGGAGATCACCACGCCTCGTGATCGAACCCTAGGATATCAAATATGATGCGAAGGATTGTGAAATACGGAGATTGGGGATCACCCAGAGGAAGCCAACAATGGGATCGCATCTTCTGTGTCCTGGACCGATGGGATCGCGGCTTACATTAGTGCGATACAATCGCAAATTGATCTTGTTGAGGATTGCGGCATACAATGCTCCAAGACCTCGCTGGCGTGAAGCGTTTGGGATCATAGTGAACAGAAACCTGCAAGCTTTAATCGTGACTCGATCCACTCAAGTTGACCATGTTGGGGAGCCGACGGGGTCGTGGTTTACATTTGCACGATACAGTCGCAACTTGAGCTTGTTGTGAGCTAACCCGATCAGCATACATTTCTTCATATATCTTCTTATTTAAACTGCATCATATATTGGTGATTTGAGGCAGCATACTGGATCGCAGCGTAAGAGGAGTGACTCCTAATCGAACCACGCCAGCCAATTGTGCCAACGCAGGGTTTCAGGATACAAAAATTTTTTTGCCTACGTGATTGAAAATTTTCCCAAGACTAAAGGCATTCAAGAAAATAGATAATTTGAAGAAAAAATAGGATAAAGAACTGGAGCAATTTAAATCTGGTATAGAGGAAAGGTTTTCTATCATTGACAACCGATTTGAGAGCTTAAAGGAGATGTTGAAGAAGGTTATTGAGATGCAATACAAGACCCCACCAGTGGTTCAATTTGCAAACCCTATCTAAGGGTTGACCAGATATTCCTTGGCTAAATCGAAAGGGAAAAAAAAATGGACGAGAAGAATATGAGAAGCGTTGGGGATCACAGCGAGCAGAGACCTGCAACCTTTAATCGTGACTCGATCCGCTCTAGTTGAGTTTGTTGTGAGCCGGCCGAATCACTGCATACAGTTTTTCATATATCTTATGATTTAAACTGTCATATATTTGTGATTTGAGGAAGCATACGGGATCGCAGTGTACGAGGCGTGACTCCTGATCAAACCACGCCAGCCAGCTGAGCCAACGACGAGGTTTCAGGGCACTTTTTTTTTTTTTGCCTTCGTGATTGAAAATTTCCCTGAGAGTAATGGCAAGCAAGCAAATAGATGATTTCTAAAAGAAATAGGAGGAAGAAGTTAGGCAAATTAAATTTGGTATAGAGAAAAGGTTTGCTATCATTGAAAACCGATTC